CCCCCCCCCAACGACCTTCTGGCTTTTTAGAAGTGATAAATAAAGATAGAAAGCTAACAATTTTACATTTTAACCACGGATCCGGACAACGAACAAAACAATGAAAAACGTGATAAAGCGATCCCCTGCTCCCACCCCCACCTTTTTTTTTATGAAAAGAAAGAAAAAGAAAACATTAAGATGTATCTCTTAATATCAGAGGTCTGAAACAAGACAGGCTAAAAAAAGGTGAAAAATTGAAATGATAGGTTCACTCAGCAGCCTTTTTTGAAATTTTATTACCAACTCTTACTCACAACGGAAGAGTAAACCATAAAAAGACACATCCCTCCCCATTTTCCCATCGACTTCTCTTAGCAACTTTTACTGTTTCCTACCTTCAAAACCTCAAGCCGCTTTTCAAATTCCTCTGTTAGACCGCCCGTACTCTATCACTCTGTCTCTTACTTCCTTCCCTCTCCCCTCCTGCATTTGTTCTAATTCTTTGTTTCATATACCCCCACCCCTTTTTTTCTCCCCCCCCCCTTCCCCACTCACAAAAACCAGCCCTTCTCCATGGTAGAGACCTCGAGACCTTCTATATCTTCCTGGGAATTTCGGTACACGATCGATCTTACTCGCGCGGGGCCCCCTTCATTTGTTTTTACTCGCTATCAATTTGCAAGGATTGTTTCTACAGAACTCCGTTTTATCGCCCCTGATCGACAAGCCGTAATGACCTTTTCCACTTGGAGGCGTTAACTTTTCAGATCGGCCAATCGTTCTATTCGCACGTCAAGTACAAAGGCGACGGACGAGAAATTTACTGGCGAGCCACAATGGTGGAAAAGTGACCTTACTCTGTTAAAAACTCGGTTAAAACTCTGTTAATACTGTTAAAAACCCTAGATCTCCCTTCTATCTGAACGGTATTAAAAAACCCAGCAGTTTGAATCGTTCATTCACCTACTTTCTCACTTCTTGGAACTTTCTTTTGTAAGTGTCATCAGTATTATTTAGGATCTGCATAATTCAAATGTTACCGTTTTTAATATATTGATCTTTGGTGAAGAAAAGACAGCGTAGAGAGTGAGTGAGAGAGAGAGAGAGAGAGTGTGTGTGTGAGCAAATAAGAGTGAGACAGACAGAGAGACAGGCAGACAGACAGAGACAACAGACATACACAAAGAGAAAGAGAGAGAGAGAGAGA